TTCCTTTTCTGTTTTTTTTTTTTCTGCAAAATACCCTCAAGGCTTTTGGGATTTTTTTTCTAACGTTTCATCCTCTCTGTAATAATATCGTGATTTTTACTGTTTCTCTGTTAACTGAATTTGGCCCTCAGGCTCAGACACAATTTACTCCAAAGATAGAGAGAGAGAAATATCTGTTATAAAAAAAAAGTCTGGTTTCTACTATTCGAAGAGCCAATAATAGCCAGACTTGTCATTTAAGGATGCAAAAAAAAAAAAAAAAAAAGAAACACAACAAATTTCGCTTTAACAATATTGAAACACAAATTATATAAAATTTAAGGTTTCGTGTTAGAAGGAAAGGTAAAAAAATATGGAATGTTGAAAAAAAAATTCAGAAATAGAAAAATATTCATCGCGGGAATATAAGCAAACAAGGTTTTTATTATTTTTCTAATCCAATCAATTTGGAACAAAAAATTCATTTAGAATTATTTTCACTAATAATTTATTATTTATCTACAAATAATAAATTAGTCAATAAACGAAAAAAATCGGAAAAAAGTAATGAAAGAATTGATTTGTCGAATTTGTACCGTGGAAATTGGCAATATACAATTTAACGACTGATTTTTTTTCTTAACCCTGGAGAGAGAAATAGAATAAATAATGTGAAAGTAACACGATAATCGAAATTAATAAACACAAAAGAAGAATGAAATGGAAACTTAGAACCTGGTACAAGTCGATCCAGACGAATTATTATACATCATTTAGGTTAGAAATAAGCCAGGGGTAAAGGTATTTTGCTATTATATATATATATATGTGACGTTCCATGAGGAAAGGGACCTTAGCTGCAAAAAAATGAAAATTGAGTTTTTGATATCAGTCGATAGATCTTGAGTTGCTCTTTCAGATACAAAAGTTAAAAATTGTACTTTTCTATTTAGTTTTTTTGTTATAAAGCATTAATCATTACCATGTTAATCGCGTTCCAGCACGGACTACAGAAACCATCCCCACCACTTCTACACTAGTATACTTGTCGTAAGCGTGAGCTGTAGGAACGATGTAGTAGTAAGGTGGTGGGGCTGATTTTCGATGGAGGGTCTCAACCAATCAGGGACGCTCTACTTTAAATATCTTTTCTGGAAAATGCGTCTATTGCAGCTAAGATCCCTTTCCTCATGGAACGTCACATATATAGCTGGCAGCCAGCATATTCGATAGATATATTCCACGGTCGTCACGCGAGATTCTGGGAAAAGTCGTTTCGCGCGTCTAAAAACCCTCTTAAAGCTATATAAGACTTTTGCGCTAACACGAGGAGCGTCTGTATGCGTGGGTTAATAAAGGCCTCCCAACATAACCGATCGTTATTAGATTGGACACTCCTCCACCCGCTCTTTCTTCCTCTTTCTCTCTCTCTTTCTCTTTCGTCCATCACAATAACCCATAAAATGCAACATTTTGTTTCCTGTACTAATTATCGAGACACAACCCATATATATATATAGACTTCACCCTCTTTTTTTTTTATTGTCTTTCTTATATATTATATTCGAAATCGTCTGCGAAAACAATCTATTGGTCCAATATCCTTCGTACAATTATATTTCGTTTCAATCGAATGTAATTTGCCTTTTCAGAGAAAATATTTTTCAATTATTTTTTCAATAATTCAATTACAATATGTAATTCAAATTCAATTTTTGTTAATATTTAATACTAATTAATTTTCTTTTCTTTATTAATTAATATAGTGGAAATATCTTCCGAAATATGAAATTCAGTTAATGCAAATTAAATTCACCGATTTTTTCCCCCTTTAAAAAAAGAACAAAAAGTAATAATGATTTTATCTTTCGATTCTTTTATAGAATTTCTTGTTTTAAATTAAATTAAAACACCTCTTTGGGTGTTTTTTCCCCTTTTTTGAAAATTGAAACATAAAATTCGAAATTCGCCTAATTAAAAGAGAATCTAATGAATTAATTGTAAATTAATTTTTTCAGCTGACAATAAATATTGAGTGCAAACTTGGTGGGGGAGCAAAAGGGCCTACTTTGGCAATCTCGTTGAAAAGTTGAGAAGCATGCAATGGCCACCGTGACTTGGTACCGCACTCTCGTCGGGACCAACGTTGGCGGCCATTATAAAAATAACTGCTGATTGGACGCCCTACCAAGAAAAGTCGTAATCGCATCCTGAAATGCTTCTCTCTCTCTCTCTTACTCGCTCGCCCTTTTTCATTCTTCTTCCTCCTTTTCACCCGCGTCAAACAATAAGACCTCTTATCTTCGATCCTCACCTCTCTTTGCCCCAACTCATTTTGCCTCTCCTTCAATTTCCTCCTCGACGACCTTCTGCGTTGGGTCTCTCGTCTCTCGAACAATATATATATATATAATATTACAAGGTTGGCAAGTGTATTGACTTGATTCTCTTTTCTCGTCTCGGCACTTCGTAAAATCGAAAGAGGAAAAAAAAAAAATGAAACGGGGCAAAGAAAAGAAATTCATCCATAAAATTGTATCTCTATGGCGTTGGAGAATTGGCAAAAGAGGGATGATAATCATTACATCGTGATATTAAGTATCGTCTCTCTCTCTCTCGAATCGATTTTATTTTTATTACACTATTTCAAGTTGAATTTTTTTCCAATTTTCTTGCAATATACCATAGAAGGGGATTTTATTTCGATAATTTTACTTTTTAGTTATGAGTAAGGGAAAAAAAAAATTCAACTTGATTGGATTTCTTTGGCAAATATATATAGTGGAACTTTTATATTGTTGCATTTGCGAGAGGATAATATATTTCTTTATACCTACAATATTGAAGTATTTGTAGCGGATATTGTTATTTTTTTTTGGGGAAATTTATAGAGCGCTATAAAATAACCATTAGGTGAAAAAATTTTGACGTTATTTTACAATTTGTATTTTTGTTGATTTGATTCTAATTTAATATTTTTTTTTCGCATAATATTTATTTATTTTTTTTTTAATAAATAACTCCCCTCCGGGTAAAAAGAATAAATTATAATTTTTATAAGAGAATTTCCATAGGAGAAAATTTTCCTGAACCGAATTTTCAAATGTTTCACTGATTTTTTGATTCTAATTTAATATTTTCGATTCTTTGCAGAATTTATTAAAATTTTTCTTTATAAATTGAAATTACTTCTTTTTTGATTTAAGAATAAATTATGATTTTTATAGATTTTTTTTAATTGTCAATTTTCAATTGTTTTTTCTCTTAAAAATTTGTTTATTTTTGTTTTCTGTTAATTTTTTTATTTTTATATTCCTAATAGTTGTTTTCTAATTTTTAATAATAATTTTTCAAATTTATTTATTATTTTTTAATTTTTATATTAGTTTTCTATTTGTTTCTATTTTTCCACGTAATATGAATTTTTTTATAATTAACATTAATAAATAAATAATTTACCAAATTAAAATAATTGTTTATAATGTTTTCGAAATCTATAAAAATAGATTTCGAAATATTTTGATATTTTATCTTTAATAAAAAAAAAAAATGATTTAGTATTAGTAATAAATATTCATGCCTAGACAGATAACAAATAGAAAAAATAGAAAACTAATATAAAAATTAAAAAATAATAATTAAATTCTAAATTAGTTAAATTGTTAAACAAAATATTTCAAAATTTATATTTATAGATTTCGAAATATTTTTTCTTTTTCTTATTATATAATCTTTCTCTCTATAATATAATCTTATCTGGAAAAAAAAAGTTAATTTTTTAATAGACAATATTTTTAAGCGAACACTAATGAGCTTAGCTTATCTATCATTATAGTTAATATTTATCAATGAATGTCATTAAGCGAGGTCATTTTTATCAACATTTCATATTGTTATTATACTATACACGTAGTACAATCAAAAGACAATAGAGGAATGTAATTACCAAGAAATTATAGTCAAACAGCGCGAGTAATTTCAATTCTTTTTTTTTAATAATTATTAATTCTATTTATTTACAGCGACAAAGTCTCTTTTCTTTATCCAAGAAATTTTTTTAATATTTAATTTCGTTACAATAATAATAATAATATTATTTTAATAATAACTTAAAAAATTTCTAGTTAAAAATGAAGAAATTGTTATCAGGACATGTGAATCGTATGGAGAATATGTAATTGTCGAGAGAGAGAGAGAGAGAGAGAGAGAGGAAAAAAAATCGTCGCCATTTTGCCAGCGGACTTTATTGTTGCGTCCTGGCGATATTATATAGCGCAGGAGCATTATAAAACTGGTTGCTGGGCCGCGTATATCAACAATAATTGCGGGGCCAATAATAAACCCGGAGGGGCCAAGCTCGATAGCCCGAAATTGTTGGTTCCCCTACTACTCTTAGGGACGTTATTGCTCCGGCCAGGAATGGCGGCAACCCTTCGTCGTCGATGGCGGATAAACGATCTTTGCGATACTTAACTTTGCGTTTGTATATACATCATATATATATATATACATACAAGTTTTATGTATATATATTTTTTTTCTATATAGTTCGTAACTCTTCTTCATGTATAGGATACAATATGTAGAAAATACACGTGCGCGAAATGTATTACAAAACCCAAGAGAGAGAAAGAGAGAACAGAATCGTTCGCAAGCTCGTAAAAACTACGTTGGTCTTGCGTGATAGTCGCGAATTCGTTATTACTCTCGTTAACGCCCGTAGACTTTCTCTCTCTCTTTCTCTTTGGACAAACTCGTAAAATTCACCAAGGGTTTTTACTACTTAACAATCGACGAATCCGCCCTTCTTTTTCGAAAAAAAAACCCTAAATTCGATTTTTCACTCTGGTTTTTTTTGTTGAGACGGGAAAATTTCTTTTTAGAATTGTAATTGGAGAAATTGAATCAAAATGTGAAATTTATATTAAAATATTTTTATTTATTTATTGAGAAATATATTAAAATTTTGTTATTTGATTTAGATGAGAAATATTAATTTTTTACGTTTTTTTTTTTTTCAGGTACGCCAATAAATCGATTACCAATTATGGCAAAGTCAGTGTTGGACCTCTATGAACTTTATAATTTAGTCATTGCCCGAGGTGGATTAGTAGATGTCATTAACAAGAAACTATGGCAGGAAATTATCAAAGGTCTTCATCTTCCGTCAAGCATTACTTCTGCCGCATTTACACTGCGCACACAGTAAGTAGATCGTGACAATTCTTTAATAATTTGCATTTTTAATGAAGCAATGTTTTTTTGTATTTATTTGTTATTTGTTATTTATTTATTATTATTTTATTTTATTTTTTTGTTATTGAATCCAAAATCGCGAAAATATTTTGAAATAATTATTTTTTAGACGAATTTTCAATTTTTCAAGTAAAATTTTATAGAATTTCTTTCTATACGAATTTAAAAAAAAAAAAATTTAAGCTACCGAATTTTTGTTTGTCAGAATTTTTACATTACAATTGTTTGTTCGGATATTTGTAATTTCGGACAATATTTTTATTAGACAATATTATTTTATTTTATTTTTTTTTTTTGTTATTGAATCCAAAATCGCGAAAATATTTTGAAATAATTATTTTTTTGACGAATTTTCAATTTTTCAAATAAAATTTAATAGAATTTCTTTCTATACGAATTTGTAACAAAAATTTTGTATACACGAATTTTTTGTTTGTCAGAATTTTTACATTACAATTGTTTGTTCGGATATTTGTAATTTCGGACAAATGAAAATTCGGCGTCTTAAAAATTCTATTAATTAAAAATTTGTACAAAAAAAATTTCGAACAAATTAAAATTCGATAAATTAGAAATTTTTTTAAAATAAAAATTCATGTTTCGAATTTTTCTATTTAGAATTCAAATCATATATTTTTGATAAATGATGGAGCAGATCAAATAACAGAAACGTTTCAACATATAGACGAGATGAATTCTTTTTTTGTTTTCGAGGTGAAAAAATATATATGGATAATTGATTTGAAAGCGAGGGCAATGTCACTTTTCAAGGCTCTTGTGACGAGTAAAGGCGGATCGCATTTGCCTCTGCAAAAATGATGGATAAACCATATGACGTTCCTTGCATTTTGTCGCGCAAGCCACAAAGCATCGTCGAGGCTATTTTCACTTTGACGTTGTCACGTCGCGTTTATAATTCATAAATTAGTCCATTAGTTTCTTAATACAATTTTGCTTCATCCCTTTTTGCTTCAACACTATTTTCCTTTTTATTCTTCACATTTTATTTTTTTTTTGCAAAATTTTCTAAAATTCTTATAGTATGAGAAACAAAATTTACCAAATTGCGAAAATAATGGAAATTTCTTTTTTTTGGCAAAGTTCTCAAAAATTAAATAAAAGTAATACAAATAAAAATAATAAAATTAAAGGTAATACAAATAAAAATAATAAAAATAAAAGTAATACAAATAAAAATAATAAAAATAAAAGTAATACAAACAAAAATAATATAATAATAGGAAAAAAAAAAAATTGCCGAAAAAATTAAAAGTCAAATTGGAATTGACATTTTACTTAAATTGATATACGAGGAAATTTCTTATTTTTCATGGAAAATCATTTACATTATAATAGATATTTTTAAAAAGTAAATATATACACAGCAATCACTATTTTTTTCCATCAGGGAAATCAATATAAGAAAATAGGGCTTATTTTATATTTTTTACTGAATGCATTTAATAGTTTGCTCTGTGTGTTATAGAAAAAGAGAAAAAAAGTGTCTTTTTTTGTCTTTTTTCTTTTTTTTTTTTTAGAAAATTTCTTTTCTGAAAAGAAATAATAATAGCAAGGTATAGTAGTGTGGGAAATAAATGTTTATCTATATACCGGTTCATATGGACAAATGGATGGTCGAGAGCGCGTACGAGCTTTTTTTCAGTATAGTTTTTCGCCTGCAGTCTGGCAGACAATCGTAAAAACCGAACGATCCCTGAGCGAATTATAGGCTTTGGGTATATATATATATATATATTTGACGCGTGTGTATATGTATATAAAGAGAGAAAGAGAGAAAAGGCTCTCTTTCTTTCTCTCTTTCTCTCTCAGCACTAAAAATCGATATACCACGTCAAAATAAATAATATTTGCGAATTATCCCTCTTTGTCGGGGTGAAAGGCAAAAAGGCAATTTTGAAAACCAGCGAGACTTGGAGGTTTGCTCGTCAATTTTTCGTTTCACCCGCGCGCACATAAAAATCACTCAAAAAAAAAAAAGAAGAGAAAAAAATAAAAAGATTTCTCTCTGATAAAATAAAGTTAATTTGTTCGCTATACGATTTTTTTTGAAATATTTAATAAAGCTCCAAAAATGGAATTTTTGAAAGCATAAAAATTATTCAAAAGAAGAAAAAAAAAATTAATTTCATTAAGAAACGGAAGTCAACGAATTAAAAGAAAATAATTGAATGGGATTATCTCATTTTTTCCCTAAAAATTGATTTTTTTAAATTTTCTTTTTTCGAAAATTACAAATATATTTTCAATTCTCTTTTGATATTATTTTTTTTAAGAATCGAAAATCGTCGAAAAAAAATTGAATTATTTTTTTTTCGCTATAAATAGGAATATTTTGAAAAAATTTTGAAAATTAAAAGATTTTTTTTTTCTCTCAATTACAGATACATGAAATATCTTTATCCATATGAATGCGATAGGAGGCATTTGTCAACACCAGCTGAATTACAAGCGGCAATCGATGGAAATCGAAGGGAGGGACGAAGAAGCAGTTATGGTGCATACGGTGGTGCAGGTGAGACCCTGGTACAGAGGAATCCAAGTTCATTGGCCCTTCATCCACAAATGTCACCCTTGTCACTTGTCACAGCGGTGACAGGTGGACAACATCACGGGCCATCTTTGGTTAATGGAGGCGGTGTTCATACACCCCTATCACATCCTCATCATCCACAGCATCCACAAGGAACAATGGGACAACCTAATGCCGGTGAGCCAATAATTATTGGTACCTGGTTTAGCCAAAACATATATTTAGAGATTTTTTTTTTTTTCCTTTTTTTTAATCGCGGAAAGGAAAATTTCCATCATTTTTTTAATTATTTCGATTTATAATAATTTTTCTTTACTGGAGAGAAAAAATTTCTTTTTTTACTCCTTCAATTACAATAGGAATAATTTTTTTATTTTTATTCAATTAATTTAATTTCACTCATTTGTTCAGTTATTGTTTTTTATTAATAGAAAATTTAATTTTTTACAATTCAAAAATTTACTGAGGAAATATTATTTTCGATAGAGGAAACTGTATTTTTTCTTCAAAACCTACTTCCAGATGGTTTTAATATAGACTAGAGAAAGATAGCATTCTAATTTCTCGAATGTCGAATGATTTATTTTCAGTTTCCTCATTTTCATTCGTAATAATTTTAACTGCCACTGAAAATATGTGAAAAGCTAAAGTTATTGAAGCGGGGGAGGGTTAGAGAATGAGAGAAGTCGGGTTTATTTTAAATCGGTAGTTAGGGTTTTGGTTGCGGGCCTCCCCAGAGATGATGATGATGATGATGATGATGATGATAATGATGCTGCAAACGAAGGAGGCGTAATTGATTGTACGATCCTCCGGGAGACAGGCGTTAACGGATGACTCTCGCTAACGAGCATTCCAATTCCTCTCCTTTCCACCAAAACCTATTCCCTCTCGCCGATATATATCCTCCTTCACTTTTTGACGTTAATATTTCTCTCATTTCTTGATTTGAGAAATATACATAGAATTGCCATTTCCTTTTCTCAAACACATCACATGATTTTCATTGGAGAATAAATTTTCAAAATCCTACACAAGAAAAACAAATCTCTAATCCTTCCTTATTGCCTCTACTTTTTTTATTTATATTTTTTATTCTAATTTTCAGTTATTGAGAATTTTTTTTTTTTTTTGTATTTTTCGTTATTTTTAATTTAAGTAATTTAAAATATTTTTTTTTTGTTATTCGAATTTAATAAAAGTACTTTAATGTATGTAATAATTTATTTTTTGGTAATAATTGCAGTTCCTGGATTGGTGCCACCAGAATTGGAAGCTAGAATGTTTGAGTATATTAAACACTTGAATAAAGAGCTTATGAACAAGGAATTGAAAAATGCAAATTCAGGCGATCAAATGATGATGCATCGACAGGGTAGTGCATCACCGCCAACATCAACATCACCACGTGACGGTGGTTTTTCCGCATTGGAAATGTCACGATTGACAATGTGGAATTTATATAATAATAATTCCATTTATCCTGGCGTTGGTCATCATCCACCTTATTCACCACAGCAGGCACATTCTCCAGCACCTCCAGCTTCCAGTCCTGAACCACAGCGAGAGGCTCTTGATCTTGGTCTCAGGTAAAAATTAGAAATCCAAAAGAAAAAACTTATTCAAAAATATTTGAAAAAAAATTTTTTTTAATATGAAATATAATTTTTAAAAATAATATAAATTTTTACAGGTCATCACCATTGTCGTCATCCCCTCAAAGACAAAGTCCACCATCGTCAAGTGGAAGTATTCAAGTTAAAAATGAACAGGATTTAATTGCCCGAGCAACAGTTGCGGCCAGTAAAAGGCTCAGGCTAGAAGACGAAGCACCTGAAGAAAAGGAAACTTTATTATCTAATCCACGCACCAATATTACAATCTCCAATAGAGGTATTTTATTTACTTCATTTTTTTCATCTAAAATTCTTTTTTTCTTATCGTAATTAATTTTTGTTTTCTTTTTTTTACAGGCGATGGTCGTAACGGAGACAATTCTCTCGTTGTTAGTATAGAATTGAATGGAACAATGTATCAAGGTGTATTATTTGCACAAACAGCAAGTAAGGACCTCACAACAACTCCAACCAGCAACAGTGCAAAGACACCTCGTAGTATTGTCTCGTGAAGAGGTAGTAATCGATGCTAAATTTAATTTCGCAAAAAAAAAAGTAAAAATCATCTCGAGATTTAGTTTATTAAAAAAATCTTTGCTCGTTCAATCCAGATCGAAGCAGTCCATTTTCTAAAAGTATGTTATTATTTTTTTTTTCCAAACATACATTAATTTAAAAAAAAAAAAAAAATCAAATCTCGTATTTGTATTAAAGTATTTAATATTTGTTCATATTGACGCGTTTAAATTTATTTAAATCAATAGAAAATTTCTAATTGAGAAATTTGTACATTCTTTTTTTAAATTTAATTCTATTATCGTGAGAAAGAAAAATTGTTTTATTTTCGAATCAGAACGCAAGAATCTTTAAAGTTTTAAATTTGAAAATTTAATTTAAAAAAAAAAAATGTTAACTTATATGAATTTTTATTCAAGAATTTCTTGAAGTTTTTACATATATATTTATTAAATATATATATTTATATATAATTCAAAGACTGCTGCGCTCTGAAGAAAATTGAGTGAATGATGGGTGATAAACAGAGGATGTATGTTTTTGCGTGCAATTTAATAAGATTTTTTGTTTTTTATGTCAAAAAAAAAGAAAAAATCCATTCTCACACCTTGCGCTTCTTATATTCTATAACCAAAAAAAAAAAAAAAAATTTTCTCAGTATTACTGTTAAAAAAAAATGTTAGAAAAAAGTAATACTGACAAAAGGAACAAAATTTTTTTTGTCTAAATTTTACAAATGGCTGTTTAATCTGGTCCTTTTTTAAAAAAATAGATCATGCATTTTATTTTAGAAGCGCCTGGACAGAGTTAGTATTATATATTAGAAAAAAAAAAATAAGGGCTGGGAAAAATATTTCTTGGTCCATTTTTTCAATTTTCTTTCTCCCACTAAATCAAAACGACTTAATTTATTTATTATCCTCAATTCCTCGCGTTCGCGTCTTGCGAGTATATGTGTTTTTTTTAATTCGCTACACGAGAAATCTCACTCTAATTCTCGTCGATTTTTTTAAAAATATAAATTGTAGCATATTTTTATTTCTGTGTAAATGATTATTAATTTTTTTTTTTTTAACCATCTTACGACCGAAATAGTGGAGAAATTATATTCTTCTCGTTGTCATTATTATATATATCTCTGTTAAGTTTGTAAATATAGCGAGCGAGAGATCTGACGTAATTATATAAAAAAAAAAATATGTATAAATGTTTAGAACCGCTTTTTATTATTATGGAATATTCGAGACTTTTTATCAATGTTCCGCTTACTGTAGATTTTTTTTTCTATTACTTTTTTTCGAATGTCTCGAATCCGCTCTTCTTTTTTTTTAAAATGAAAATCGCGGTTTGCCAGTATGAAATAAGACAATTATTTAAAAAAAAAAAAACAAATATATATATAAATATATATTTCGAGGCAATTGTAGAGAAAAAAATGTTGCAAAGACGTTCATTTTCTAGTTGACATTTTAAAATAAATAAATCTCGTTTACTTTGAACAAATTTTATTTTTAAAATTAAAAAAAGTAACCATGTCAATTCAAGTAAAATGAAAAAAAGCGAATGTTTTTTTGGGAAAAACATTTAATTAAAAACTTTATTTGGAAATTTGACGAAGGTATTTCCTAAGAAAATGTTTTTCTCGATTATATATGTAAATTAGGAAATATTTAAGAAAAACATTCGATGAATAAAATGAATTTTAACGAGAATGTTTTTTTTTGTATAAATGAACAAAATTAAATTTGTTACAAATGAACGTCTGAATAAAAAAAAAAAATTCGCAACAATTAAAAAAAGAAAAATCATAATAATCTAAATATAAACGTATCGTGCGAAATCTTAAATTATGTTTAGGAATTTTAATGCAATATTATTAGACAAATTATTGTGTATTATTTTTACGTTTTTTTTTTCCTCATTTTTTTTTCTCGCGTTAAATACTGCATAATATTTGTAAAATCTTAAATTATGTTCTAGACATCCTATGCAATATTTTACAAAGGATATTTTACACGGATATTAAAAATCTGATTTTAGTCATAATAGTTAGGTTTTGTGCAGTTTGAGAATAAGAAATATAAATTGTAAAAAAAAGAAAAATGTTTACAGAATAAGGCCTCGTTTATCAAAAAGAAAAAAATTTTTTTTGTCTCAAATCAAAATCTGATTTTAATTAATTTTAAAAATATGAAAAAAAAAACGAGCGGTGGAATGGAATATTTTATTGTTCATAGATTGAAGTTTAGCCAAAAAGACTGTTTATATAGGAAGAAATATTAATTTAGCGACTAATTCTTACGACGATTATTATTAGAAAGAAAAAAAAATAATAAAAATATCATCACGATCATTATTAGTATTAATCTTAGTAAATAAAATAAATAATAAATGCGGCTACTACTGTTACGTAATTTAATAAAAAAAAAAATCAAAATTACCATTTCATTTATAAAAGTATGCTCGAAAATAAAATGTTTTTATTTAATTTTAAATATATTGTAAATTCAAAATAATTTTAAATTTTGTAAATTCTTTTTTTTAGAAAGTTTTATTTAATTATAAGGTCAATTTTTACGAAAGAGATAATGTTTTTTCAAAAAAAAAAAAGAAAAAAAAATGGTAGTAAGTTCATTTTTGTTATTCCGATGGCTCGCTTTGTGACATGCAATACTCGTTTTATTATAATTTTTTTTTGTATGTCCAATTGTGATTTAGCGAGAAGCTCGTTAGGCATTTGTTAATAAATAATTTAGGGCCACCAATTGCATAAGTGATTTTTTCTCTTAAGTACAATTCATTTTTAATTATTATATATGTAATAAAGAAAAAAAAAAATAATAGCACTACACGTACACGCATAATAATCAATGTTGTATATATAACTATTATCGTTTGAAGGATAAAAATGAAAAAAAAAAAAAATGAAAAAAAAAACACTGATGACATTTATCTACCATAAACTTCTGTAGCGGCTTAGTTCTATCTTTCTCTCTATCTCTTTCTCTTTCTGTAAATCTATGTAAACGTGACCCACGATTATAATATGAAATAAAAACAACATTACTTTTAACAAGTTGTCTACTAATTTCGTTCAAGAAAATTCCCTTTCATTTCCAAGTTTATTCCCTGTTAATTCCTAGATATTTTATTTATCGTTATTTCTTTCACAATTTAAAATTATTGAGTGATTATAATAATTTTTATATGATTATATTATTCTTTATATTATTATACGATTAATTAGTGATTTGGAATTGGAAATTGATTTGAATATTTGAAAAATTCCCGCCAAACAGTTGATTCTCCACATGCGCATTTGAAATATTGTCACGTGACACACTTGGTGGGAATTTTTCAAATATTCAAATCAATTTCCAATTCTAAATCACTAATTAATCATATAAAATCAATTATAATCACTCAATAATTATAAATAGTGAAAGAAATAAACGCTCTTGCACAGCCCACAAGTTTTCGATATACCGAAAACTTGTGTGGTGTCAAAACGCCTTTACCATCAATAGGTAAGAATATTTAAATAATTAATATTAATGCAATGTTAGTAATAATTCCTTTTTTTGTTAATTAATCTCCTTTATTTTCATTTTCAATTAATTACAGATAATTGGATGTATAAAATAAGAATCTAAATATCATCGGATATTCAGTCTTGATGAAAATAGTTTTTAATTTACAAATTACGATCTTGTGAAAATTAAAGTAAAACATTTTTTTTTTTTTGTACAATTTCTAAAAAATTGAACTTAATCTATTAAGTAAAGAAAGAAAGAAAGAAAAAAATATGAAGAAAATATCTACAACGATCTATATATGGAAAAATACAATGTGTTTGTGAAAATATTTTATAACAATCTATTATAAAAGAATGTACTTATTTTAAAGACTTTGTATTTTATTTTTCTCTCTATATATATAGTGAAATTAATATTTTTCTAGGTTTTTTTTTTTTTCTTTTTCTTCGTGTTTGTAAGTGAAAACGCACAGGATGAAAATAAATAAAAATAAAGGAGAAACATCGCACGTTATACAACTTTGACAATCTACTTTTTAAACATCACGTAGCGAATAGATCGTATTTACAAGACAAAAGTTTACATTTTTTTTTTATTCTCATTTTCTCGATGGGCAGACACCCGATTGTTCATCGAAACTTGTTGATAATCTTTTTTTTTTTTTTTTGAAAAATTACTATTTTTTTTTGGTAAGAAATTTTATATTTCTTTAGCCGATTTGATTATCTATCCAAGAACGAAAAATAATAATAAAGAAATAAAAAAAAGAATTGAAGGCAGTTTATTTGCCTCACTATCAAAGAAAAAAAAAAAAAAAAAATTCGTCATTCGTACAAATAAAAACACTGAAATAAATTTTTCTTTTATTATTTTTCAAGTGTTCGTGTCGTTTTTTTTTAAAAAAACGATTATCCATTCGATTCTCTTTTTCTTTTTATCTAAGAACTTTCTTTCTAAAATTAGTTTATTATCCTAATGCAAAAAATTTATCAATCCGGTAACTGTTTTCTTTTTTTTTTAAATTCGCACCTTTTCAGTCACCGGCTTCTATTTTTACCATGTATACTCTCGTTTATTTTCACTCTCATTCATTCTCAATTTCTCATTCTTTCTCTCCTTAAATTCTTCCTCGTTGTAACATCGTAATAAAATTACATGACAAAATGTACAGAGCAGCGTTTTATAAAATATTTTCCTATCAATGGTGAGTTGGAGAGGGGACTCGGTTACACTTTTACCGAGCAGATACTCGTTAATTTCATGAAATTTTCAATTAAGAAATATTAAAATTGTGATGTACTTAAATTTGATTATATATATATATATCAAGGAATATTTTTTTTTTTATTCCTTGACACACATCTAAAAAGGTATTATTGAATTTTATAGTTCAACGATTTGTTGTAAGATCGAACAATATTATTAACAAGATTATTGAGTCGAAATAATAATAATAATAATAATAAATTCTTTTTGGGAGTATCTGCTTGATATGGAGATCGGTCCCTGTCCTAGCTTCATCGTGAGAGCGAATGAGACCGTTCGTGTGTCTGTTGAGAATCACCTGCGGCTCTTAAATCTATTAATTTTTGTGACGCTGGTAATGCATCAAAGAATGGATGATTCAATGAATCCTTTAGAGTGATTCGTTGTGAGGGATCGTAGATCAACATTTGTTGTATCAAATCGAATAATTGTCTATGATCATCCTCTTCTGATAATATATAGCGCTGAAAAGAAAACAAAAATTAGTTAATTTCACGTTATTCCTGACTTTTTTTTAAAAATAATCCAATTTTAGAATTCCCTACACTTACAAAAAAAATAAACAAAACTTACGTTCAAAGGTTTGCAATTATCTCTCACGTATCTACCAGCGGAACTTTTGTCGTCCCATTTCAATTTTCCATGATAAAAATATTTGGTCTTAGTTTTACGAGCCATTGTATATGGAATTAATCCAAGAATGCGTTCCATCATTGCCAAATGCTCACGATTGTCGTGTGTTTGGAATAAAGTAATACCCAGGTACAATTCAAAGAGAATACAACCAATTGACCATACATCACACGGTTGTGACCATCCCAATTCTACAAAAAAGCGTAAAAAAAAATTAGTTATTTATTAAATAATAAATAAATAAATATTAAATAATAAAATAATTTTTTTAAATTAAAAAATTACCTAAAATAACTTCTGGTGCTCTATAATGCCTTGTACTGACAATTGTACTATGATGTTCATGATCGAATGTAGCGCTACCAAAGTCAATGAGTTTTATGTCTGTCCTCTTTACACGTCTAACTTCTTTTCGCTAAAAAAGAAAATTTAATCAGTAAATTTGAAATAAAAATTACTATAAAAAAATTAAAAAAGAAAGTTCTTAATTAAAAAAACGAAAGTATAACGAACCTTTTTGCCATTACTGATTACTTCACAATCAGAGTCAACGAAAAGAATATTTTCCGGTTTAAGATCCGTGTGCGTCAATTTATTGTCATGAAGAAATTTCACGGAATAACAAAGTTGATATCCTATGTGTCTAACTTGCTCCAATGGATAGGGCTGATAATTATTATTTCTCTGAAAAATTCAATCATTATTATTAATTAATAAATTTTAATATAAATATAAATGTTTTTTTTTGATCAGATTAACTTACCAAGAAATCAAAGACGCTTAAACCAAGCATTTCAAAGGCGATACACATGTGTCCACGATAGTTGAACCAGTCCAACATCTTGACGCACAAGCTGAAAAATAGAAAGTGTCAATGAAAATAAAGACTTTGAAACCTAAACGCAAAAAAAAAATATGGAGAGCTCTCGCATAGCATCTTTAAAAGCGTTTCTGAGACGTCGAGCCATAAATTTTTCAAATTCGTCGGCTGCGCTCCGTCGACATTTTTTTTTTCTCTCTCACTCTCGTGGATTCAACAACGTGTATTTAAATACTAACTGTTGACCGTCTGGATCTTTCGACGAGATCTTCTCCAATGCGTTGATCTCCAGTTTTGCTGCCTCACGATATTTTTCCACATTCTTGATTATTTTCAATGCCATCACATGATCCCTGTGTGCAAGAGAAAAATCTTTTTTAATTAAATCCATTTGTAATTGGCTTTTTAAAAAATAAAAAATCAGCTCCTCCATTCAAATTCCTTTGAAGAATTGTTGATAAAAAAAAAATGGGGAAAAAAACATTTTTGAACTTTGCTCATTTAATGAGCATTGGTGAGAAATTTTTCATTCCTGTCGCGTGTTAGATGATGCGACAAAGTGCAAGGTTATCCTATTATTGTGACTACTGCTTATAAGTTATGACAGTCTAGCTATTTTTGATTTTCGGGTCGAGAAATAGAGAATATAGAGAAAGCAAGCGCATCTGCATTTCTGCAAAATTTCAAATTTTGAGCATATTTTATATACATACGATATTGATGATAATGATGCGTCCACTTACATTAATTGGTCGACAACCTTGACAACTTTTCCGAATGTACCCTCTCCTAGGGTGGCCAGTACTTTATCTGTAATGTAAAATATTCTATAAGTATTTGATAAATATTTGCCTTGCATCGAGAGAGCTTTCTTTAATTTGTAACTTTTTCTCAACAAAAAAAAAAAAGAGAAGAAAAAACATAAAGTAAACAAAAAAAGCCATTCTTCGTGTAAACGAAAAATTCTAATAACGTGCAAAGTCTAAAAATTAAAAAAAAGCTCCCATTTCGACGCTTAGCGAATATAACACGATTAAAATTAAGAGTAAAAGTGACTTGTTCAGTTTTTCATCTCGAATTTAAGGAAATTATTTTCTTTTCCACATTTCATAATTCTCGATATTTTTTTTTTTTTTAAGAAAATCGACTAGAATAAAAAAAACAATATGTATAAATGTTTTTTGTCAATACTAATAAAAAAAAAGTCAAACAAAAAGAAAAATATATAATTTTTATATGAAGAATTTTTTCAAAATCAGTAATAAAACAATTGAGTAAATTAAGTGAAACAATTAATATTTTAGAAAAATAGAATTTGTCCGATTTCTTAAAATTCGAAATGAATTTCCAAACTCTTATTGAGGGAATTTGTCGTTTCTTTTTTTTTTTTTTTTTTTAAATCTTGTCAATTCTAAAACACGAATCTTTTGCGACACGCAAGGCAACATTGGCTCTGTCCCGCATTAATTACTAACTATGAGAGAAAGAAAAAAAAGAAAAAAAAAATTAATAAAAAACAAAATCGAGGAATTCAGAGCAAATGCATTTTCGTGTGGAAAAATAGAACGTCATTTCGAAGAGGGTAATCGGCAGGAAAGTAATTTTTTTTTTTTTTTTCTATTTGTTAAATTTCATGAGCCGATAACACAAATCGAAATGACGTTATTTCTTTTTAAATTATTATCAAAACTATTCTCTAGTTTTAATTCGTATTTTTTTTTCTTTTTTTGCTTTTAATCGAAGATCGCGGTGTATTGGAAAATTGTCAGCATCTGAAAAAAGGGATTACGTGTCACTAGAGAGAGACAGCGCGCGATATACATTATTCCTGAATAATGAAAAAAGTAAATTTAGTCAAGTGATTCGTAGGTGATTACAAAGAATATCGACTGCAATGATATTCGCGGGGGTAATCAATTGTGTAGGTTATCATGTCGCAGTACAAGGACTACAGAATTTAAAAAAAAAAAAAATTATTAATGAAAAATGATAGTGAAAAAGTGATCAAGAAATGAGAAAGAGAAATTTAAAAAATAGAATAAGTAAAAAAATAAATAAATTAAAAAACGATAAATAAAGGAAATAAAAAAAAATTTTTGACTAAATGAAAGATGAGAAAAATATAATTTTTTTTGAGAGAAAAAGAAAGAAGACGAGGAACAAGATCATGAAAATATTATTTTTCGAATGAAAGTTTTTATTATTTATTTAGATATTTATTTTTCGAAAATATGAAATTATTATTTCAAATGAGCTTCAATGAAGTAAATTTACTCGTTTGTATTTTTAGAAGAACATTGAATTTTCAAGATCACAAATTATTATTATTTTGTGAACTTCAAAATTCAAAACAAAATGTTCTTGAACTTCTAAAAAGTCTAATTAAACATTTTTTTATTTTGGTAATTATTTCTATTTTTATTTTGCAATTTTCTATAAATTATTTATTTTTTAAAATTTCTATTTTTATTTTACATTCTTTTCAAATAATTTTACTAAACAAATTTGAAACTTTTTTTTTCCTTTTTCTCATAAATTTAATTTCTTTTTTCTAAATTTAAAATTTTCTGATTAACAAAATAGGATTTTTATATTTTGAAAAAAAAAAAATTTCCTTTTACAATATTGAAATAAAAATTAAAAATTTTACTTAGATTCATCTACTCTTTTGAAATTGTAATTTAATTTTTTCAAAAACAAAAATTTGCTTCTTCAAGCAAAAAAAAAAAAAAAAAAATTATCACTTAAATTTGGAATTGAAAAATATAAAATTTTCATTGATCTTGTTCCCAACGTGATGAGTATGAAATTAGATATAGAAGAACAAAATAAAGGAAAAAAAAATATATATGGAAAAGTGGGAAGTACTGCAGTCAACCATCATATCGATAAATGAATCGATCTCAGGCTTGCTTAAATCTACTACAATGAGTGTATTCACGTATTCACGAACATCTATTTGCCAGGATGTCGCCGGTTTGGTAAATAAGGTGGCCGTCTTCGTCATCCTCGACGGAGGGTGCTCGTGGGCTCTATTGTCGGTAACGGATTTCGGTATCAATCATCATCATCATCATCACACCAAATCGATTCAGAATCCCCAAGCCAGTTTGTGACCCCGAGTAGAAAGGAGGAGGAAGAAGAAGAAGAAGAAGGCGCAGGTCGTCCACAGCATCGCAGATCCAAGTTGATCCAAGATTTGTCAAATAGTCAATTTGTCAATTTACGTTACATTACGTTGAAAAATCGTCAATTGTCAATAATCGTTCAATCAACACGTAAAATGAATAATTTTATCAATAAAAAAAAAATTTTGTACAAGATTTTATTAATTCGATATTTAAATTTAAATACCAAACAAAAAAAATTACATGTTGATGAGCGTTTATAATTCAGTCATTAGGAGGAAATTCAAAAAAAAATTCAAATTCCCATCCAATTATGTCAAAATGTCATTTGTTGTTGTTGACATCATCAGTGTGTTCCAATCATCATCAGTTAGCGCCAGAGACCATTGAGACGAAGATCAATCCATTGTTCCAAAATCCGTTCCATTCCATTCCATAACAACGGAGATGGTAACCCAACAATCAGAGAGAAAGGGGAGAGGGCAAAATGGTTTGCCAAGTCAGAGAGTTGCGGTTTACGAATTTACCATCGGCACAAAGCGCTCTTTTTTTTATATATGATTTTTTTTTATATTTATATATATATATATTTATATAATTATATGTATATTCTTATTATATATATATAACTTAATTGCTTAAAACTTATTTAGTCAAAAGCAGTTTTAAAAACTACATGTGGATATTATATTGTAAACAACAAAACAACAACAAATAGTGTAAATTGGATATTATTATTATTATTATTATTAATGGGGAAAAAAAAAAATTAAACACGTGCTTGTGTGGTTTTTTTTTTTTAATAAGAGGAATGATTTTTAATAATTGACGTGAAAAATAAAGCATGCAATTTTGAATTTTGAAAAAAAACGCGATTTTAAGTGTAAACGAGGGAAAACAATTGCGTTGAAATGTACTTCTTTTTTTAAATTACTAATTCTGATTTTCATTTTTGCAATGTAAAGGGAGAAAAAAAAATACCCACATTATTTGATTGAAAACACTTCATAATTTCTTCAAGTTTAATTTAATTTTTTTGTTAAATAAATAAAGAAAAAAATAGTTTCACATAACCTAAAAATGAAATTATTAAAAAGTTAATTTATTATAAAATAAATTACTAATTAAAAGAATTAGTGGAAAAATTACTAATAGAAACAGTAAATAAATATTTTCTATTATAAAATTTAGAAAATGGTTTTCACAAAAAAGAACTGCAGAAAGTAAAACGTGAAGTTGCCTACAAATTAAAATCGATTCGTTAAAAAAAATTTTAAAATAATAATTATTTATTTATATTAATTTGTCATGTAATTTTTACCTTTATTTTTAAATTTAAAAAAAAAAATTGATTTGCAGATAAAAATAGAAAATCATTTTTTTTTCTTTTGAAATAATAAAAAAAGAAATTTTAAGGCGTTAATAAAAAAAAAGTGCATTAAATGAAAATATACATAGAATAACAGTTGGTAGATGCTTTATAATTAATTTTTCTTAAGTAATCATTACTCGATGCCAAATACTTTAAGACGACAATTTCTTAACGAGAAGTCTCAGCCAACAAACTTCAAAATTTAACGACGCGTTCCAAATTATCGTGTTCCAATTGATGCGCAAACTACCACAATTTTCATTTCTTTTTTTTTTTTTCTTCTTTATAAACAAAATTTCATCCCTTTACATTGCAAATTTTTTTTTTCTCTATATATAATAATTCAATTTTTATTTATTTTATGAAATAAATTTCATCTTATTTTGATATTTAATTATTAGCTCTTATTAGTTTTTTGTTTTTTTAATTTTGCAAAATACACAAATGACACAATGAAAAATCTGTCAACAAAAAAAAAAAAAGAAATTATTATCAATTAAAATTAAAATACAATAAATGAAATGATATAAAATGAAAAAAATAGTTATATAATATTTTTAATAAATTTTATTTTGAGAATTTTTTCAAAAATTCTAAATTACTAAAAAGTAGAAAAATTTTCCAAAGGGTTATAAATGAAAATCAGTTATTAGTTCAAATAATTGTTAAAAGTTAAAAAAAAGAAAATTTAAAAGAGCAATTAAACCTGTTTTAAAAAAAAACAAAATTTCCATTTTTTCACATTTAGTGCAAATATATAAAATTTAATATTAAAAAAAATAATACAAAAAACAATAAATTAATATAGGGCAATATTTTCAATTTTAACATATAGAATTTAATAGAAATAATTTTAATTTTAAGAAAAAATAAATTGTTTTTCAGCAATTTAAAATTTTCTAATTCAAGAATATTAAATTTTTCAACAAATTCTAGAAAAAAATCAATTTAAATAATAATAAGTTTTATTTAAAAAAAAAAATAAAAATAATTAAATAGATAAAATTAAAAATAAATAATAATTAAGAAGAAGCACATTTAACAAAGCAATTGTTTTGTTGTCATCGAATATATAGTATAATAAAAATTATGCTTCATTTTTGATTGACGAAATTTGCTTTTCAAAAGAGAAAACTCTCACTTCAGATGAGGATATATTTGTAATATTAGGAAATAGCCATCAAACAAGCAACAAAAAAAAAAAAAACAATAGAGGATGTTGTCTATAATTTTAATAATAAAATAATCATAAAATTTTTTATCGCCGTCAATATTCTTCTTAATGGAATAATTATATTACGAAAAAATAATTAAAAAATTTTTTTTTTCACTAATCATACCTGTTTAGTATCATTTATTTCACAAGGAATAACACTATTTTCATATTGAGCACTCATTAAAAATAAATTTGACGAAGTATTCAGTACATTTATTGAATTTAAAATCCACAATGAATTCAATACTTTAATCATTTTAAAGAAATTCATCTTAAACACTGAATTTTATTTTTGAAATTGGATTGTTACAAAAAAAAAAAAATTCCTTACATTTCACTCACGAAGTATGAGTAACATTAAAATGAAAATGAACATTAAAATATCAAATTAAAATTTAGAATATTCTATTGTCTTTGAGAGAAAGAAAGAAAGAGAGAGAGAAAATATTTCATAGACACAGTTTGCCAAAATTTCGAGGTTGCACACAATAAATTACTAATGTCAAGGTTGTGGAACGTGAAAAGTAACTAAATAATTTCGCGATCGTAAATAATAAACCAGTGTCAATTTTAACTGAACTAATTAACCCAAATGATAAAAGAGAAAAAAGTTTTTTTTTTTTTTTATTAAAAATCGTAATAAAAATTTCAATATACAGAAAAAAATTCGAAAAAAGGTAAAAAAGAAAATAAAAAAAAAATATGAATCAAAGACAATAGAAATAAAAAAATTCGAATATATTTTTAAACTCCATTTCAAATTGAATAAATGAGTAAATTATAAAAGACAACATATTAGAGTGATCATCTTGTGATTTTCTCATTAAATCTAGACAACATCCTCTGTTGATTGTAATTAAAGGAAAAAAAAAAAAAATAAGAAAAAAGTGCCTTGATGAGACGCAAAGGTCGATTACGATAATCGGAGAGTTTAGTCAAAAGTGGGATAGATTTGCAGTCGAACTCTGCTTAATATAAACGTCGAAATGGGGCCACGTGACCTCATTAAGTCACGAGGGATAATAATCTCGTTTGAAAGCAACAAGTGTTTTATGTGAACACATACATGATTTTTCAAACGGATTCCACTTTTTCCACAAGAGACACACGTCTAAAAAAGAGAATATAAAAATTCAATATTTCTCCGTGACAATAAATGTCGATTCATTTAAAAAAAAAAAAGAAAAAAGTTCCACTATTGTTAATGATACAAAAGTTTTGTTGTCATTTTTCTCTATTCTTTTATATAAAATACATATTTCACGAATAAATTTATTTATTTTTGATAAATTAGATAAATTCACGTTTATGTTCACAATAAAATAACGAACTAGTTGCTTTCACTAACGAGATAGGAAAAAAAAAATTTAATTGAGAATAGAAAAAGAAATTAGTATTTTTAGAATATGAATTTTTTTCCCGATCAATATAATAATTTTAAACTAAATTTTTAATTAATTAACAATAATAATATTTAAATTTGTAAAAATTAATTAATTTTTCAATTCTCAATGTTGGCGGGATGCATTTGATAATATTTAACAATTCTTAAAAATGTTTAAATGATTAATTAAAGTTCATGTTTATCTTATATTGGACTTTAGTCGTTTATATAGGATCAATTGATTTAACTTTGTGCGATACGTAAGAAATTCAAATAAACTTTATATATCTAACCAAAGTGATATTTCAAAAATTATTAATAGAAAAAAAAAAAAATCCACTTACAAATTATATATCAAGATATTTTTTCGATTTTACTGATTTGATTAATTTCGAGGGGATCCATTACATTTTGATTTTCATATAAAAAAATAAATAATTGAATTACAGGGAGATTTTATTATAAAAGTTTCTTCATTTCTTCTTTCCTTGAAGAGAATTTTAATTTTACAAATAAAAAAAAAATTAAAAATACTGTTTTTAAATTTAAAAATTTTAATTTAAAAAAAAATGTAATTTTAAATTAAAATTTATTAGAAGAAAATAAAATTAAAAAAAAAAACTAAAACTGAATAATTTAAATTATTAATAGAATAATCAATAAAATTTTAAAAATAAAAATCAATTTTAATTTTTCTTGTAAAAAATTAATTAATTTAAATTACGTTTACCGGTAGAATTAAAACATTTATAATAAATATCCAATTCAATTTAATTTCCAATATGAAAATCATTCAGAAAATGACTTATTGGAAAACTATAATTAGAATATTGAGATTTCTTCTTCTCAAAAAGTGAATTTTACAGGTAAATAATTATTTCATTAATTACTTGAAAATTGGGCCAAATTGAATAAAAAAAAAAAAAAAAAAAATATTTTTTTCCCCACTATAAATATTATTCAAAGTTCTTATATACTGAAACATCAAACAAAACTTAAATTTTAGTCTCAGAAATTATTTATTTAAAACTTAACATAAAACACAACTAAAGAAACATTTAAAATAGAAACTGACTCACTGAATTCTCAATTTTTTTTTTTCAATAACAAAGAATTTTACAAAATACTAAAAAAAACTCTAAAAAATCAAGATAGATTTCCAAATAAAAAAACAATTTTTAAATTAATAAATAAAAAAATAATTTTTAAATCTAAATTAATTTTTTACTAAATTTAATTCTTAACTTTTAATTAAATTTCGTTTTTAAGAACATAAATTAAAAAAATTTGCCCACGAAAATACAAAAAGACTAATTTTTGTAGTTTTCTAAAATTAAATGAACAAAATTGAGAAATTCGAAAATTTTTCTTTCGATTCATCCTAAAAAAAGAAAAAAAGCGGAAACCTTTGCCAAGAAAAAAATTCAAGAACGACTTTGCTTACATTTCACACTTGATGAGAGAGAGAGAGAGAGAAAATGATACTCAGAAAAAAAATGGTAAAAAGGGAAATAATCATGCGGCGGGGCAAAACACAGCTCTATCGATGAAGATTTCGTACACGCGTGTTTCGACAAACTTACAATCGAATTTGTTTCCGCGTCGTTATTGCTAGGATTCGCGTTTTTATTCTCATCATTCCTCACATTGTTGTTGTCGTTGTGATTATTATTATTATTATTATTATTATTATTATTACTATTATTCTTCTGATATTTACTGGCAATTTTGTCAGTGGTACTTTGTTCTTGTTTTTCGCCAGAATTTGCAAATTTATTATAAGCCTCATCCAATGCGGCATATTTCATTATTAAACTTTGTATTTCTTTTCTTCTTGCTTCTCGTTCACGTAAAACTGGATCATTGTCAACATCATTTTCAATTCCATTTGCAATTGGCGTTTTTTCAGGATCATTATTTTTATTATTCAATTCCTTACGTAAAAATTCTTCTTTCTCCAATTCTTTACGCGCAAGTTCCTGTTTATCTAATTCCTTACGTACAAATTCCCTCATTTCTAATTCTTTACGGGCAAATTCCTTTCGTCCCTGAAATTTTGAATTTTTTACCTCATCACTTGTTTTTCTTGATCTTAAATCAAGTGATGTTTTTTCAATTTGTTCACTTTTTCCAGCTCTCGTTGATGGACGATTTTTATAACGTCTCGATTCCGAATGACCAGATTTGTGTCTTCCATAATAACTTGGAGTTTTATCGATTTGAAATCTATCAATATTACTACCACTACTGCCACTACTTCCGCTAACATAAGGATATGCTTTTTCACTAAGTAGAACACTAGCTCTTGGACTTTTAACAATTGTTCTTTGTACCGAGGGTTCAAGTGTTTTTTCATGTGGACTTTCATTTTGTTGATGATGATGATATGTTTTATCACGTTCATGTCTCCTTGGATTATCATCATCTCTTTTTCGATAATTTGTATAACGATCGAGAATTGCCGTATATTTATCCTCAAAACGACTTCTTGTACTTGCGCGTCGATTTAAAATTGGTGTTTTTCTTATATTTTCATTTGTCGACGATGGACCTCTAACTCTTGTTGTTAATCTTTGCAAAAGACTTGTACAAGAGTCGCTCAACAACTGAGTCACACTCGTCGATGACCTCGTGTATCGATTTCGACGTGGAGTTGTTGAATCTTGCTGCTGAGCAGTTGACATGCTGTCCCTTGATGCAAAAATGAACATAGGGAATTCCAAAAACTCACACAAGAAAAAAATAAAAACACGATCAAGAACCACTATGTCTCACTGCTTCCTAGAAAAAAAAATTACAATTCATAATTATTCCAAAAAAAAATAATTTTTAAATACCAATTTTTTTGGTAACACAATCTCACGATTTTTTTTTTTTTTTCAAAACTAAGAAAATGAGGTTCGACCTTTCTCGTAACGACGCGCGCGAGGATTTCGACACGATGAGACCTCGCCGACAAAGAAGAATAATATTACCGGCTTGATAAAAAAAATCATAACGAGGGAGCGAACATGCCGAACAAAATTAAAGAGACAAGCATACTGAGAGTCGCGATGAGGATGAAGGAAACGAGAACCGCCAAAACGACAACGACAACGAGGATGATGAAGAAGAAGAAGAGGAGAACCACGACGATGACGACGACGTCGACGCGTACGACACAACGGATGAGCCGATCGGTCCGCCCCGCCAAATACTCATTGGTACTAAAAATATCGGGCTGCTGTGTGCCTGCTTCCAACGAATAATGCGTCCTCTCTCGTAACGTGTGCGGAGAGAACAAGAGCACATATAGAGAGAGAGAGAGAGAAGAAAAAAGATAGAATCGCAAGAGAAAAGGGGGATGAAGTGAGAAAACGAAGGCCAAAGAGAATTACGTAAAATTTCGAACGTCTTCTTTTTCAAAACAAAATATTTTCTACTTTTTTTTTTTTTAGAGAGAGAATCTCCTAAAAGCCTTAAAAAAATGTTTCTTTTTTTTTCCTACAAAAAAAAAAAAACAAAATTTTAATTAAATTCTATAATTTTAATAATAATTTATCAATGACGTTAAAAGTTTATTCTTGTTTTGAGAAATACGTGTGAAATAATTTATTTTTAAACCCGGAATAAGTTGAGAAATTGAAAAATTTATAATTAGCCAAAATTGTAAAACGAAGTTAGAAAATTTTTAACCAAAAAAAAAAAAAAATTTTTGTCACTTATTTTCTATTTAAAAAAAAAAATTTTTTTAAATTATCCATCTTGGAAAATTGTATTTTATTAAATAAATAAAAAAAATTTGGATGAAAAAAATATTAATTTTTAAATAAAAAAAATTCGATAATGTTTTTTTCTATTAAAAATATTAAATTCGCAGTGAATTTTCAAAAAAGTAAATTCATAAGAAATTTCCCCGTCTTATACATATGTACATATAGTTGCCAAAAATATAACAAAGATATTGAATCAAGCAAGTTTCCGTCAATGTAAAAATAGAACAATGTTTCATTTACAAACTAATCCTCTTTCAGTTTCTTTGGCAATATTTTGGTTTTTTAACAAAAAAAAAAAAAAAAATGAAAATAAAAAACTAGTTTATAAATATTTTTGTGTAACTAAATTTTTTTTAATTATTATTAAAAAAATTTTTTTTTTTCATTTTAAATATCTAAATTTTGAATTTTCAGCAGAATTCAAGGTGGATTAATCATAAAAAAAAAATAAAAAGAAAAAATGAAAAGTTTGGCATTCTATCAAAGGTGCCTACACGAAAATATTATAAATTCAAAATAATCGTATTGATTTCTTCCTGCACTCAAGGCAAATTCGAAAAGTGACGATGTTTTCCAGAAAAACTAATTTATTAAATTAAAAACTATATTTTTAAATATCTACGTTTTTTTTAAACATAACTTTCCCAAAAAAAAGAAAAGCAAATAAATTAACAAAATTTAATATTAATTAAATATAAAATTTACAATTAAATAAATTTAAATTTATAATATTTTCTGAAAAAAATTAGAAAATAGCAATATATTTTTCTGTCAGAGAAAATATATCATTTTCTCAATTTTTTTTTTTTACAATTTTCTTCGAATTATAAAAAAAAAAACGAAATCGTATTTATTAATATTAAATATTAAAATATATTAAAAATTATTGAAAACCAAAATTGCAATAAAAAATTATTTTTTATGTAAAAAAAAATAAATTTTAAACATTTAAATTAATTTTTTTCTCGTCATTACAAAAAAAAAGGTGACCTTTGTGGAAATTTATTTCTTCTTTTTGGTTACAAAATATAACATTTCAAGAGAAAATTGTAGTGTCAAGAGAAAATTGAGAATATTTAAATTTTTCACGTATAATCCAAAACAAGAATTTATCTTCATAAAAGTGTTGCAAAAAGCGGGAAGTAAGAATTCAAACGTTAATAACGAAATAGAACTAAGATTGGATCGCACATAGAAGCGAACTATAACTAGCGAGCTATAAATCCGCTTGCCTCGAAATAAGTTGAAATGAGGGAAACTAGAGCAAGCGGAAAGATTCAAGAGGACGAGAATTGTCAAAAAAAAAAAAAAAAAAAAAATCAATTATAAAAAAAAAAAATTACATAGAAAAAAAGATACCAAATTGTTTTATAATTTCAACTCAAAAATTCTAGAAATATAATTCAGGGATAACTTCAAGGTCGAACCTTCAACAAGAGCAACGTCATTCACACACAGTTGTCGCCTAAGAAAATTTCTTCAAATCTGTGAATATTGGTTGCTATTAATATAATACTCGGGGGAAACTAGAAAATAAGATTCGAACTTAATATTATGTTGAGCATCTAGGTCTCAGTTAGATTTTATCCAACGTATTAATAAGGAGGGGGTCAAGTATTTTTTTTTTCTCTCTCTCTCTCTCTCTATCTTCATATTGTAAGAAAAATATTCCTGCTCCACATGTGACGAGGAAAAATTTTGTTATCGAGGTTGATGCAGAAGCAGCATCTTCCCGCGAGTCGAGGAGAAACTTCCGTGAAGAGAACAAGAGGGCATTGTGCATTCAATCGAAGATGAATGGTTTCGCTGACGAAGATCGACTACTATTATGAATAATAATCTATAAATTTTTTTTTTTTTTATGAAGGTGGGTTTAAATAATTAATTAACTTACGCTTTGTTTTAAACTATCGCCAAAATTAATTGTCATTACAATTCCTAATTTAATAATTGGTAAGACACGATAACATATTCCAAAGGCAAATTTCATTAATTTTGATAGACACTTTTTTAAAAGAATTAAAAAAAAAATCTCCGTCATTTTTCCAAAAAAAATTTATAATTCTTTTTTTTTGTCGCAAATTTCACACACTTTCTTTGCATGATTAAATATATTATTATTTCTTGAAACGCGATAATCGAAATAACGTCACGTCTTTTAATCGCGTGTTTACTAAAAGCCAAACAAGATAATTATGAACAGTTTGATTTTCTTTATATCACTCGTGTGCGATTGGAAATTCTATTATTATTTCAAATTTATCATTATAATTGATCTCGCAGTTCTCGCGAGACTAACGTTCCTGTACAAAAAAAAAAATCATTTTCCTATTTTTTAAAATTAAAATTTCAAAAATAATTATTTTTATTTATTTAAAAAAATTTATTATTCTTTAACAGCTTTAATTGTATTAAAAAAATTGTATTTCCTTGTTTTACAAAAACGAAACTATTTTTGAATATTGAAATTATAAATAAAAAAAACAGTTAAATTAATTAATAATTAAAATATTAAAAAATTTAATATAAAAAAATTCTTTTCAAAACAGAAACGAAAGCCAAAAAGAATTGTTCGATCAAAATAATTATTTTTCTACAAAGAATTTAAAAAAAAAAAGAATTTTACCATTTCGCAACGTCTTGATTTAAATTGAACTGATTCTTTTCCAAGCCAAAGGGATCTAAAGACTCAATATTTATTCTTGCACAGAACGCAATCACAGGTGTGGCGATGCACCCTCCATTCATCTTCATCATGATCATCGAGGGCAACATTGAGTAAGGTTAGGTTATCAGCTCATGTACTCGCGTTCGCATCAGGTCATCAAGTGCACGTCGTCTCATTCGACTCACACCCTAAAAATGTTACTCGAGTCGTATATCCAAAAATAACTTTTTCAAAGACGTAACATCATCATGATGCGAATGTGAAACGAGACAAGATGCGCATTTGATATTATAAAGCCACGGATCATTGGAAAAATATCATGCTCAAATGACCGGATTAGGAACAAAAAAAAATCGTTAGATCAAACAAGATCGAAAATGATCGAAGAGGCAAAACTAAATATTTGATTCGATTAATCCTCGATCGTTTTCGAATTTACTACCTCAGAGCTCGAGATCTCTGACTCGGGGGTCACGTTGAATTTGGGTATAAAATTTTGCCACAAATCCTCCCACGCTGGTCCAGGCCACCACATTTTTTGCTCATCCTGTCCAAGATGAGCGAGCATTGTTCCATTAATTTTTTGTCGTGACATTTTCGAATTTTCAATTTTTTTCCCCAATCATATTGTTTATTCACACTATTCACTGGGTTTTAAAATCTCTTCAAGCTCGTTTTTAGAGATATTTCTGGAACTAGGTGTCCTCCTTTTACTTTCTTCTGATTCGTGTTTTTTTTTTCCATCACACACAAAAAAAAAAAAAAAAAATCATTTCAATGATTCGTAATCAGCTGTTTTAGTTCCAAAATTTAGATTGATAAATTGTCAAATCGTAAAAACACTATCTCGATGGAAAATTTAATTAGAATTTTTTTTCTCTCTCTCTCTCTTTCTCTCGGTAAAAAATATTCCCGAGAGGCCAAAAAATAAAACCGGCCTGCCGGTTTGGAAGTTCGGCGCTGGCCATCTGGCGCAAACTCGCACTGAAAACGCTGCGAAACCCGCATCACGAGAGAGTCCCCCGTCGAAAATAGTCGTCGTTGATTCGAAAATAGCAACGCACACACCGTGGAAGAAAGAAGAGAGAATAAATGATATTCAACTCCGAGTTTTTCTCCTATCAACTTCTTAAAACAAATTAACCAAAAGAATAAAAAAAAAAAATTTCTTTTAGTTTTTAATTTTCTTCATATGAATTTTCTTTTTCTCCTCTTAATGAAAAAATAAATTCTCTCATTCGAGAATTGCTGTCGTTAATAATAGGCGCGATGCCTTAAAGAAGAATTGT